GAGACAGAGGAAAGTGATTCACCAGCTACAGCCATCCAAAACCAGAGAGCTGTGGCATGGGGCTTGAGACGACTCCTCAACTGGATCAAGGAGGAGTATGGAAATCCACAGATTTATGTTACTGAGAATGGAGTGGCTACAACCACTGAGATCACAGTTGATGACACAGACAGAGTATTTTTCTACAAAACCTATGCTGATGAGGCTTTAAAGGGTGAGTTACAAGTTACATGTGTTTGAAGTCAACTTTCATTTGGTCAAATTCTAGCATACTGAAGGTAATCACTGGTTGACATATCCAGTAGTTCTAGTGATACAAATTAGATATACATGCAGTACCCCTTCCTGTTTGGTCATTGTGTGGAATTAAACAATAGAACATGTTATTATAGGCTACATATATGCAGACATCCATTTTAATTGCTAATTAGGTTTTCTCTGTCTTATAATATGCAGCTCAAAATCTTGATGGTGTAAACGTGAAAGGATACATGGCAACATCTCTCATGGATTCTTTTGAGTGGAAGAGTGGATACAACTTTGGATTTGGATTGCACCATGTTGACTTCAATGACCCAAAAAGACCAAGGACAGTCAAGTACTCAGGTCTTTTTTATAGCCAGGTCATGAAGGACAATGGTTTCCCACTACCAGATGATGAGAAGACACTCTATGGAGAGTTTCCAAAAGATTTTTATTGGAGCACTGCCAGCGCCTCTTACCAGGTAGGCAATACCATCCCACATCTGTTTCAACAGTAGTACAGAGTACTCTACACTAACATGGCACAGTAGAGTTGAGCAGAGCTGGAGTGGGATGGACAGAGTGTTTACCAAGACAGGTTTTGTAATTCTGCTTTTCTTTCATTTCAGATTGAAGGCAGCTGGAGAGCTCACGGAAAGGGACTGAGTATCTGGGACAAGTTTGCCCATACTCCTTTGAGAGTGGGCAACAGCGACAATGGCGATATTGCTTGTGATAGTTACAACAAGGTTGACGAGGATGTTGAAGTGCTGAAGAAGTTGAAAGTGTCCCACTATCGCTTCTCTGTGTCCTGGCCCAGAGTGCTTCCTGATGGCACTAATAAGTACATCAATGAAGATGGACTCAACTACTACCACAGATTACTGGATGCTTTGAAAGCTGCAAATATTAAGCCCCAGGTACACAGTGTTGTTAGGATGAATTCAAGTAGTGCTGTGTATATTTAAAATGTGCCTGTTTAGAATGGGCCAATTGTTTGGCCTCCAGTATTGCTGCTTGCAGCTTTCTTGACATCATTGACCAACCGTTCATCTACACTATTTCAAAATTGACTGCACTGGGTTATTAAATCTTAACCATTAAAGCCAAAATTTAACTGGTACCTCCTTAGGTGAAACCAGTGGCATCGAGAGAGAAGGTTAATACTACACAATTGTCCAATAGCAATTTGCTTCATGTGGTAGTGACTACTTTTTATTTTAAAGAAAAGATTGCCTTAGCAAAATAAAATCTGCATCAGCTGTGAAATGTTTGTCACACTTATGACTGTAGTATGCGTTTTTTTCTTGTCGACTTTTCAGATTACACTGTACCACTGGGATCTTCCATTAGAGCTACAGAAAGTAGGAGGCTGGGAGAATGAAACCATTGTTCAAAGATTCAGAGACTATGCTGAAGTTTTATTCAGCCGACTTGGAGATAAAGTAAAGTTCTGGATCACCCTCAATGAGCCCTACATTGTAGCCAACCTTGGCTACGGATATGGGACCTTTGCTCCAGGTAAGCAAGCAACTTTCTGTTCTTTATAGGCTCTCTACCTTGATCAGTTTTATTCACTTACTGTGGTGAAAAGCTGTAAAAATCTAAATATAGTCATTTTGTTTGGCACACAAATCCAGTGGAACACAATAAAAGTACAACAACTAACTAAAGACTACTAGTCCACGGTCAAGCTAGCAGCTCTGTTAGGCCTGATGATGACACTAGATTAAAAAATGTCATCATTGGGGACTCTTGATTTCCAAAGTATCACCAAAGTGAAGGCAAATCATGAATGTCTGGATAAATAGCTCAGTCTGAAAAAAATACCATCACTAACAAGAGTTTATGTGAATGGAAGAACAGGTTTTAACTTTTATATCACAAATGAAACAACACAAAACAGAAGCTATAAGTGGTCTGTTGTAATCTCAAATGTTTCAGGTGTTGTGAATAAGCAGTACAATGCAGCTCACAACCTAATCAAGGCCCACGCTGAGGCCTGGCATCTCTACAATGAGAAGTATCGAGCAACGCAGAGTGGTGTCATCTCCATTACCATCAATTCTGATTGGGCTGAGCCAAGGAATCCATATAAGCAGGAGGATGTGGATGCAGCCAGACGCTACTTGCAGGTAGAAAAGCAGATGTCAACATTCGAAGTGACACTTTTTACACGTTTCTTTCACCTTTACTGTTTACTAGATGGTTTTACGTGTCAGGATGTCAGCTGCTTGTTCAGTGAATACATCTCATCTAATCACATAACATGGACATTTTTTTTTCCAGTTCTTTATTGGCTGGTTTGCCCATCCCATCTTCAGAGGGGATTATCCCGAAATAATGAAAACAACCATTCGTGAAAGAAGCCTCGCTGCAGGTCTCGCTAAATCAAGGTAAATGAACAAAAGTTGAGACCATCACAAGCAGAGAAATCAATTTGAGTGAATCATGTTACAATCACAGGGTGTACAAAGACATTTGCGTGTAGTGTAAAAACATCAGTCAGTATGCATCCTTTCATCATTTGTTCACATCAGCAAAACAACCTTTGTGATCTGGTTAAGTAGACTGAAGGTATTTGCTGGCAGGTGAATAAATATATTTTGTCGCAAATAGTAATGTTTGTGAGAAATCCTGGATAAGGCAAAACTCTTTTTTTTTTTCACTATAGGCTTCCGGAGTTCACGCCTGAGGAAATCGCGAGGATCAACGGGACTCACGATTACTTCGGCTTAAACCATTACACCACGGTTCTTGCATACCCTTATGATTTAGGAAATCGGCAGGATTATGAAGGTGACAGGTCAGTTGGAATTATAAAGTGTCTCTCTGCTAACTTTTGATTACTCTGTTTTTTTGTGCCTTACAGTACCTGAGCAGAAGATTAGTGACACAGAAGGAAATTAAACCCACAAATAAGGGCCTGTTTTAATAACAACATATTTGCCTGGAAATGTTTACTTTTTTCATTGGACGGCCAAAAAAATCAAGCCAGAGTTACATGGTGAAGTGATCCTAAACTGTGACGTCTAATCCAATATTCAGGGGCACGAGACAAACTTCCGACCGCACCTGGATTGGCTCTGGCTCCTTCTGGCTGAAGATCACTCCATTTGGATTTAGAAGGCTCCTCAAGTTTATTAAGGAGGAGTATGGAAATCCATCCGTCTATGTCACAGAGAATGGGATCTCAGAACGAGGAGTAGTGGACCTGAATGACGTCTTCAGAGTCCACTACTACGAAACCTACATTAACCAGGGTCTGAAAGGTGAGATAGTCAACACGAAACAAGGAGTAGACTGAGTTATTGGAACTTTATTGCTTAGATTCTTTGCATTCTTAAAATTAGAGATTTGTAAGACAAAAAGACCAACATCAAATAATAATCCAGATTCACTGACCCAAGGTTGTATGTTTTTTTTGACTTGCATGCATGTTAAATGTATTCCTGTTGTTGTCTCAGCCCGCCTTCTGGATGGAGTTGATCTGAAAGCGTACACAGCCTGGTCATTGATGGACAACTTTGAGTGGGCTGCTGGCTTTGCCGAGCAATTTGGTCTTTTCTTTGTGAACCGCTCAGACCCTAATCTGCCTCGCAGCCCTAAAAACTCAGCACTTCGCTATGCTTCCATCATCAAGTGCAATGGCTTCCCAGATCCGGCTCTTGGACCCCATGAGTGCTTGATCCCTGACGATGGAGGTAACATAAACTTGAAAATGTCTAAAGCAATGTTGAGTGCGCACCAATGTAGCTTCTGCCAGGTTATATGTCCTGCAATATTTATGTATTAGGTATAATTTTTATAAGTTCATTTTATTCTAAAAAGCCAGCGTATTTCAGAGCTTTTATTTTTCCAGTGTAGCATACCTTGATGCATCCTGTTAACTTTTTTCAGCTAACTAGGGGCTTTTACTTTAGAATGCCCACATACGTGAACTTCCTTCCCTTGGCCTTGCTACACTCTTGTTCCTTTTTTAAGGAAAAAACACCATATAGCCACTATAGAGCCTTAAACTACTGTTACCTGGGAAAGTCTCTTATTTAGACCCAACTGATATGGAGGGCCACTTAACATTCTGTGGCTTATGGAGATTGATCTGGGACATATTAGAACATGTATCAAGGCTTTGTTAATATCATCAATAGCAGCTGTGTTGATTTGCCTCTGCTGGTAGATATGCCCTGCTTATAGAGTACACAACAACATACATAGTCCATCGAGGTCCCCATGTTTGATATTAAACTGAGAAAGAAGGACTCCAATCAACCAGTCACCTGTGAGTCACTGGTTGTCTTGGTGATTCCCTACAACCCTAGAACCGCTTTCAGACATGCACTCTGTTCCGTTCATCTGACGGGTCGACCGCATGTGTGAATACCCGCCCTGTTCTCTTATCTGTAAAAGTCCCGCCACCAGTCTTACTATGCTGAACCCCATAAGTCTGTTTAACTGTCAACACGGCAACAGTGTGAACTGAGCCTTTACATGGACTGAGGGACACGCACAAACAGAGGTGCGGTGTACAGTTATTTACCTTTTCACATCTCGGCACCAATATTCGCAAACATCACAGAGGTGCTTAATGCACAGCTTCCATCCGTTATTTATACACCGCTTAATCCTCACTAGGGCCGGAGGCTATCACAGCCAACGCAGGGTGAAGGCAGGTTCACCTGGACAGGTCACCAGTCTATCACAGGGCCACACTTAGAGACAGACAACCAAGCACACTCACATTGACACCTATGGACAATTTAGAATCACATGTTTTTGGACTGTGGGAGGAAGCCAGACAACATGAAAAGATCCCAGGTGTCCTAACGGGGGATCTTCGAGCTGTGAAGCGACGGTACTAACCACCGATCCACCGTGCAACCCTCATTTTGCTCTGAGCTTTTTTAATACCTGCAGCATCAGACAGCAGCAGGATCCATGTGTGCATCTCCAAAGAGTGCATGGTTCCAAAGACGGCATGGGTTTAGCAGCTGACTTCCCATTTCCGAAAAACTGCATGACAATTGGTAACAAAAGAACATACAATTCCTGATCAAGCCACATGTTTTGATGTATAATATGAGTTTTCGCAAAGCTGCAGAACAAGTTACGTACCAAAAACTGTGTTGGAGGAATCTATAAGAACAAGCCCGAAGAATAGTTTGAAGTGTGATTTAGTGCCTTTGCATTGGCACACTTACAAGGTCCACATATTTAAAGCTTATGCAGTAACTGTCAGATTTAGGAAGTGAATAACCCATGTTGGTTTGTACTCTAAGCAGCTGTAGAAACACTTGTAACAGTGTGCAGAACATATATCCATTTCAAACAGAGGCTGGATATAGTCTGTGTGTAAAAATTTGCCGAACAGGGATCAATGATGACATTTTACTTGATTCTTATCCTGCTCTCACAACAGGTTCAACAGTACCGCCACCCGGCCCTGGTAATTCTACGGACAGAGTGAACTTCTTGGGTCGGCGGCTTTCAGCTGATGATGCTGAAGTGTCCCTTTATGTCCTGTTTGGATTCCTCCTTGTAAGTCTTATTGGGATCATCATTGTTGCATTTTCTCTCGTGAAAACGAAAAAGAAGAAGAAGAAGTCAAAGAAAGCATCAAAGGAAGCAGCAAAGATGGAAAGAATGTAAGGAAAGCTTTGGAGGAAAGTCAAAACCAGCCAAAGTTTTGGGCTTTTTTTGTTTTGTTTTTGTTTTTGGCATTTGTTTGTTGTTGTTTTTTTTTTTTTTAAAGTATAATTAATTCAAGAATGTAGGAGAGCTGTGTTGTTTTAACATTTGGAGCCAAATGGCCTCTACATTAGTCAGAGTTCTTTAACAAGTAGCTGTGAAGATGTGCTGCTTACCACCAGGACAGAAAGAAAGAAACCAGAATAAAGTTGTTGTTGTACTTTAGGGGTTTTTTTTGTATGTTTTCTTTGTTACAAAATGTGAGATTTAATTTCTTTTGTGGTTGTAAATTATAGTTTAATACATGTTAAAGTAATAGGTAATGATAATTTGCATTTCTGCCAGTGTTGTAATGTGTGTCTATAATTTAAATATCATCTGATGCAGGGACTTAACACACATTAATTCACATGTACAGCCGTGCAGTTACTTGTATGTGCTTTATTTCAATGATTTATATTTGAATTTGTATTGCTTGAGTTGAATAACTGAACTGTAACATTGAATCTTAATGATATTTTTTGAATTTGTATTATATAAATTGAAGCTCTGTTCCAATAAATTTGAAAACAAAAACTAACAGTTTGAAATTGAATTCTGTTGCTTTGAAATTGTTCTCAATCCTCACTGAAAAGTCACCTCTCTACATTCAGCTTTCACAATTTCAGTTCTTGAAATTTAGATTCCGTGTCTTTCGTGCCTAAATCTCTGGATCCATGAGTGTCACGCCCACTTTGTCAAAGTCATGTGACCAATGCTGCTTCGACATTCAATGTTAATCAAGCAATTTTTTTTTTTGAGAGACAGATAAAGACTTCATGAATAGTGTTTTCACATGTTCGTCAGTGTGACTGAACGACCTCTGGATGGCGCCAGTAAATAATTTTTCAAGAAGACACTGACTGTAACTCTGCTGTGGCAACAAAATGTAGAAAGTCTCACATTTCTTATGCCTTAATATTTAACTAAAAAGTAAGATTCGGCTAAATATGTGTATAAAATGAAGACGGTATGTCAAGAAAACTGATATCATGCAATGAAGCTTGTTGCATGTCGACTTTGAGAAACAGAATTTTTCATACATACATGTGACTCTTTCTAGCATTTTGACTAAAATAACGTCATTAAGATCCTGATAAGGAGTACATTTAATTCTAAAGTTTGCTGAGGTCTGACACTGTGACGGCTTGATGCTGATGCAATTCTTACATAGTTTCCCACTGGGACTAATATAGTACTTTATTTATGTATTTGATAGCTTGAGGCCACGTATACAGGGTTAAACTGTTGGACAGGCAGTTGCTCCACTGAGTTCTTAAAGAAGGGGAAGGGTTTTTGTTTTACCTGCATCATTTTTAGGGAGTCTGTGTGCTTTAGGGATTTGAACCCCCAACTTCAAAAACATGCACTGCCACTGACCTCTGGCTAAAACCATGACAGCTTGGTGGAACCAAGACATGCCCCTACATGCCCACTCAGTGACACAAGCTTTATAGGGGCTAGCAGGGCAAATACAAACCTTCCCTGCTCCCACCTGCTAGGATACCTACATCTGGTCTCCAGGGTGACCTGCCTTCTCAACAGGATGTACGCATTAATGCGCTGTGGGTGTCTGTTCTGCATGCTCCTCCCTGCCTGCTCCTCAACAGCTCTGATCAACAAGGGGTCTGGTCAATATCTGAAACCCCACAGTCTGTCAGGATGGGGTATGAGTCAGAGTGGCAGGAAAACATATTCACTCATAGTTTCATATGAAATGTTTTTAGGTCAAGTTGATTAACTTCCATGAAAGTTTGATGACTTGAACATACATGAATGATTGCTGATCTGGATTATATGCACTTGTACGCGATGCCACACATACAGACGAAGTATAGCTGTTACGTTAGACTTAAATAATTGCATGTGCAGTAAAGAAAACATGAAAGACTGTGGGCAGAGTGTGTTGAATTAAATCAGTACAATGCTGTGATACACTTGAAATTTAAAAAAATAAAAAATGGAGCAATTTCATCATTATTGTTATTATTCTTACTAATTATATTAATGATTATAATGATGATGATGATGATAATAGAAAAAGTCTCTTGAAAATACAGTAATTTTCCATTATTAAAGTAAATGGTACAGCTGGCCCTTTAGATAGATAGATAGATAGATAGATAGATAGATAGATAGATAGATAGATAGATAGAT